GTCATTTATACCACATTTCAAAGCCGCCACACACTCTAAGAAAGCGGGCAGGAACCGCGTCTTCTTCTTGCTGTATCCGCTCCCTTACACACGGCGTACACCCATACATGCTTATAATGCACTACATTCCCGCCTTATTTTGGGATATCCACAGTCGGGAGTTAAAGTTTTCCTGTTGATGAGAAGATGCCTGGCTAGCGACCCGATATAGACAAATTAACTCTAAAGAAGAGGTCAGGCGGGAACGAATCATAAGTTATGTCCGACCAATATTAATTGCAAAGAGGTTTTGTTGAAGCACCTTGCAAGTGAGTTCACTTCTTCGATTAAACTGACGATTTGAGAGCCTGGGCCATCATCTGCAGTTTTGATGCAGCAAAAAGCCAAACCGTAGCTGTCAAAGCAGTCCTTAGAAATGATATCTCTATACCTGTGGGAAAACACCCGCATGGCGAATGCGGGTCGGTGCCGGGGCAACCGGGGTACATTCGCCTCACACCCTAAGGTTACAAAACAAACATTTACAGAATAATTTACACAGTAGTAGATACGCTTGGCGAACACACAATAATATGATCAGGTCATCTCGTTGTGGGCTGAGAGCGAAATAGTTTGCCTTTCACCAAAGGAGATTCCCAGCAATGGTCCATGTGAAATTTGTTCCCCGACAACACGAGTTTGGCTGTTCTCAGGGGGTTGAACCTCTTAAAAGTGTCCTAAACCTAGATGCACCTAATTTCTTTCCCAGTGTATTGACGCTATGGAGGAGCGCGTGTAAAGAGGCGCGTAAGCGAGGATGCTACCAGCTTGACAACAGAATGCCTACATTACGAAATAGCTCTAACGTTAGAATCAATAACGAGGTCGATACGATGCCTACTAGTTGATGAGACCTTAAGTTTTAAACAGAGAATGAGTCGTGCACTGACCTGCTGTCGAGGGCGATGTCTTCCGTCGTCCGCACAATGAGGGCCGGAAGGGGCATGCGCAGCAGCTCGAAGGAGAAGGGCGGCGCGGGCGGCCGCCGCCGCTGCGGCCCACCCGCGGCTCGTGCAGCGTCATGTTGAAGGTGCGTGTTTGACGCGCGCCTGGAAGAACCATACAACGTATCAAAAAACGTCAAGCACAAATACGATGTTAGACCACTGGCATCTGCCTTGACGTATGACATGCACGTGCATAGGGGGCGTCGCCTGCTCAATCGACCTAGGTGACTCAGAGCATCAATTGATATCACTGCAATGCCTCTGACTGCGAGAGGTCTGGGGTTGTAAGGTGTGATTTTTGTATGGGTCAAAGATGAAGCGGAGCGAAAGATCGGCGGGTCGTGTGTCCCGTTTGATAGGTTACCTACTCTGGGCATTTGCTTGGTGGAAATTACCGAGAACTACTGATGCAGAGCATCCGCCGCTATAATCGTTCCTGCAGTCAGCGGTTGAAACTGATCCAGCTAAGAAGTCACTGTCGAAAATCGTATCAGTGTCAGGACTCCGAACCTAGGTCTTCCGGATCAAGAGACCATCAGTTGAATGCTCTGAACCACTTTACCGGTTTTTGAACTTGCATTGTTATTGGAATACACTCTTTAGCGATGAATTGCCAGCGTACGCTAGTAATGTAATGAAATGTCGCCTCCTTACGCCGGCAGTGCGCCTGCTGCACCTCCCCACGGATTGGCCCAGCGTCAGCTTAACGCGAGTGGTCGTAAAGCAACTTTGCGCACGCACGCCAACCCGAGCGCAGGGGCAGACAGATACGCCATGTAGGCCCTTTTGCCCAGCGCGCTGGTCCACGCGTACTCGCCGCGACAGCAGGCAGGTACTGCTTCTTCACCACGGGCACGCTGCTCCACAGTTTATCTGTTCCATCAAAAGGCTAGCTTTATTTGGTTAGGGTAGACAAAGAACTACATATTTCATTGCATTGTAACTTGTTGGGAATAGATGAGCCGTTTTATTCGGACGGCTTTTACCTCCTCTAAACACGTAAGAGCGTATATCATGATTCGTTGTCACATTGAATGTACTTAAACGTATTCCAATAGTTTTTATTACGCAGCATTGTACCCATTTACTTTCAGCCTGATATTTTCAAAAAAACACGGGAACTTGTAATAAAGTACGAAACTGGTTAAATGCTTAAGTAAAGGGAATTATAATGTGTTTGAAAATATTGACCAGCCATTACAAGTTTGCTCTTAAAACGCCTGAATTGTTGATGTTTATCTTCTGC